TTTTTTTTTTTTTGTTTCTTTTTTTCTACTTCCACGTAAATGTAGCATTTCCTTAAATAAAAAGGAAAAATTTGTAACAATTAAAAGTCCTGGACGCAGCTATCGTATTCGCGAATTTGACGATACGTTTCTTGACTTGCTTGGTTAAAACCGCGCGATAAATAAAAGGCAATTATCGAGAACGTCCCGATGACATCGGCGATCGAGCGAAAATAAAGAACGAAATATGCGAGAAATCGCGTAGAACTTTGGACGAAAGGAGAGCGTTGAGAATCGGCACGATAGCGGCGCCCATTTTTGCGAATAATAATAGGACGATAATATTAAATTTATTGGTTAAAAACTAAGGAGTGAACCTATTGCAAAATTACAAACGAGAAATTTCGATTTTTCTTACAAACGTTTTGGTAAAATTTCATTTTCATCCTCGTATCTTTCCCTCTATCTCTATCTTTCCTTCTTCCTCCTCTTCGTCTTCTTCTGTCTAGCAATATTTTCAGTCTAACAACGCGTGCCAAACTAGCCGAACAATCTTTCGAGAGAAACTCATACAAAGCTTTACAAACACTGCTCTTCGACGTTACTCCGATTTCCGAAAATAAAATCACACGCTGTAACAGCTCTCTGCGATCATCCAAGCGACTGAATCTAATTATTCATGTGTGTTCGTTTAATTAATGCTCGTCGTTTCTTTTTCACAACCGAATCTGTTCACCGATAAGATTTTCCATTCGTTTCTTTCTTTTCCTTTTACTTTTACAGAGACCCATGTAATAAGGCACAATTTTCTGCCTGAGAAGGCACTAAAATATCATGTCCTATACTCGTACGTATAGTTTGATCGTATTGCATACACGTAAACCACGCAAAAAGGAGAGAGATCAATTTGAAGCGAGTTACAACTAAACGAAGATTATTGTGCACCAAGATTTGTACAAATTCATTTTACTCCCGTTCGATACGAGCCTATCGTATCGTTCATACATAAGAGAATACGCAAGAAGAAAGGGAGAAAACAAAATAAAATAAAATAAAACAGGGTTCCTAGCTTCCTTTTCGTCCACGTATTATTTTCTTCTCTTCTCTCCGATTCTGTCCCAATGATTCCGATCGTACATTTTCTCGCTCTCGATTAATCCGAACGTCGATAGAATTTTTAAAAAACGATACATGGATACGGTGTTGCATGAACGCGCGGTTAAGTTAAAGTTACCTCTAAAAAAAATATCGATCGTATCAAAAAGAAAGAAAAAAAAAAAGAAAAAAACAAGATTCCTTTTTTCCACCCGCTTTGTTTCTCGCTCGACGGAAATAAAACATGGCGCGCCAAGGCGCTCGATTAAAACTACCCCTCTCTCGTCGAACTAACAACACACACACTCTCTCTCTCTCTCACACACACACACACTCTCTCTCACTCTCTCTCTCTCCCTCTCCCATTTCGATTAAAAATTTGGACAAATTTTATATTACACTATTAGAAAAATTCCTATACAAACAATACTAATTACTCTAAATCATCTGTTTTCTTTCTCTCCTAGTATTTTCTCTTCCTTTTTTTTCTCTTCTTTTTTCTTTTTCTCTCTTTTTTTTTCTTAACTCGTTTCGCTTCTTTTTATGATAAAATAACAGCGAGAGCGTCGCCGGGAGTTAGACGGTCGTGTCCAGATTGCTTCTACCTCCTGCCGAGTGTACGAAATCAACGTCCATTTGCGAATACTGGCGCACTTCCGGTGCGGACGCGGCGCCGTTGTCTTCTCGCAACTCCACGAAAATTCCTACGTTCGATGTGTTCGCGTGTGTCTCGATACAGGCGGCCGGGGTCGTTCGACAGTGACCCGTGTCTTCGATCGTTTCCCTTGCGTCGAACAACGTTGACCGTGCAGATTTCGACTGTGGTTGGGGCGTTCCGACATTAAGATCGCTACTTAAACGCCGTTTATACCGTAGGTTTGTCAGTGTCTTCAACACTGTTGCGGAAGCCCTTTCCCGTTGCTGCGCCCTACGAGGGAAACGTTCAGGGATGGTGATGACAGAACAGAAAGAGGAAGATGGACCTAGTACCCATTTTCCATTTCTTTTTGCATTGATTCTCTCTTAATTTTCTAATTATTCTTTCGCACGATAGAGCTCATCTTGACCACGGAAGGGAGGGGGAAAAAATTGCCTAGCAATTACGTGACAGATCGTTCGAGCGAAGAGGAAAGAGAAGCGTCGATGGAATGGAATTTTCGCGCGTTCTCTTTAGGAAAGAAATTGGCCGATAATACCGAGACGGATGATCTAGGCGGAGAAGAAAGAGAAGCGTGGATCGAGTGGAGATGTAAGATTCTTTTTCGGCTATCGCATCGTTGTTTCGTTCGTGTCGATCTATCGGGAACGATGCGATCGTCTCGTGACGAATTATCGTGGAAATTACAAAAGAGTCGTTACTCTACGAGCAAGCATTTCTCGAAACACGAGGAAGAAAGGTTTATTCGGAATCGATATCGATTCGAGATATATCGTGCTGCTTGCTCGCGGCACGCGTATCGTACGAATAATGAGAGCGCACGGAGAGACGGAGAATAACAGCGTAACGTGGATTACGACACCCGTAAGAAATACAAATTGTCAAGTGAACGAAGTCGACTTTCATGTTCATGCACCGTTCAAACGCCATATGTATATACGAACGACCGTATCCGACTTGACTCGATCGGGGAGCGGGTAAAAAGAAAGAGAAAGAACGAGAGGGAGATCGACGAAGAAACTCGAAACGCGGAGGAATGACCAAAACTGAAATACTCAAACGGAATAGAAAAAGCGAGAGAGAGAGGAAAAGTAGAAAGAGAAAGAAAAAAGGGAAAAGAAAAAGAGAAAAAATAAAACTGGAACAACAGGTTTCCCACGGAAATTCATCGCAGCGTTTCGCGGGTACGATCGAGCGTACAATCGCGAAACAAGAACGTCAACAATATGATGATTCGCGATTGTTCAGCCGGATCGATGTCGAAGTCAGAACGCAAACGGTCCGGGGGAATCGACGCTCGATCCATCGATCGCGGGGCCGTGAATTTGAGAAAAGAGAGAGAGAGAAAAAAAAGGAAAGAAAAAGAAAAACAAGCGTTACGGTGTTCCTTCTCGAAAACGGCGCGTATTTCCTATTTCTCGTCAACGTCCCTCGTTTAAAACACGACGAGGAGAGCGCCTCTCTCGCGTAAAGAGAACTCCAAAAGCGATATTCTCTTTCCTACGTCATTCTCATACTCTTCCCTTTTACTTCTTTCTTTTCGCTTTTTTTTTTTTCCTTTCAAGCCTTTTCCTCGTTTTCTTTCGTGTTTTACCTCCCGATAATTAACAACAACCTGGTCGCGGTTCAACGTTCCCCTACGAAACGAAGTGACGAGTGTGCCACGTAGCTAAACCGATAGTGAGGTCTGGAGGTTCGAAATGTAAGCATCTATTTGGTAGGACGAGCGATCGGAGTTTACAGGGAATCGAGATTAAGGATATGGGTACGGATGGTAAAATATTTGGTTACAACTCCATGTCCTGCGCCTCGTCCTCGCTGAAGTCGCTCATCGAAGACTCGCTATCGGACGACACCCCGTTTTCGGTACCGCTGTTCTCCTGGTCCCTTAGCGCCTCCTCCGTCGCGTATTTCCTCACGTAATCTGCCAAGAAATCAAGAAGGAAATTGCATCCCAACTAATACACTCGGGGTGTTCGTTGACGTTGGAAGTAACTTCGAACGTCGTAGCCTTCGGGCTCGTGGCTTCGCCGCGAGATAATCGACGAAGGAACCGAGTCTCGAACGAAGAACTCGTGGCTCGTGTACACGCGACCAATTTTCGTATTTCGAGTCGTCCAACTCACCTGCTACTTTCTTCTTGTACTCCTCAGGTTTGTGTAGATACATGGCCGCGGCGTCGCCATTTAAGGGGTCGATTGGATTAGGATATGTCAACAATTGGGGCAGGAAAGACTCGAATATATTCGATAAATCTGAAACAGAAAATTCGAAGGTACACGGTGATTAGAAGGCACGTCCTGTTGTTCTTTCAGATGCATCGGTTAATACGAGTTGGCGATTAAATTTCCCGCGGATTATGCAAATACGTACCGTAAAGGGCAGTCCAGGCCTGGTTTATTACGTCTAGACACACTGTGCCTGAGACTTCGTCAATGTTAGGGTGGTACACCTTGTTCATAAAGCCGATCGAAGGAGATTTGAAGGGGTAGTGCTCGGGCAAGTGAACCCTCACCTTCCATATTCCACCCTCGTAAGGCGCTGTAACGTAATACAAGTATACGATATCAGTAACGATCATACGTGGAATGCCAGTCTTCTATGCAAAGTAGGTGGGAGAAAAAGATATTCTCGTCGTAATAACATTCGAGAATCGTGCTGTGGGTTGTACGCGCATTTTTCTATGCTTATTAACACCGATAGAACATGTACAAGATGACACCATACCACGATTTTCAGCGTTTCCCAGGAATTTTCCAAGATGGTGCATCTCGGTGAGAAGAATTCGCCCGATCGCGAATGAAATTCGATTTTATCGTTACATCGTCTTTAATTGATATGAAAAAATTCTTTCAATAGTGCATGGATCGATATTTATTTATTGCCAATTCTTCCGACCAGGTTTGTTCCTAGCACGCGAAACTACGTAACAAATTTTTCCATTCCCGAACAACGAAATCTCGTTAATCTGTTTCTCGGTATATCTACCACCATTTTGCCGCGTACAGTTTTCACGCAAATGGCTCGAATTCGTAGGAAAAATATTTTTTATGCCTATAACGCGCATAAATGGCGTCCACCAGTTCGTGGATAAATAAATAAATAAATAACCGAGTAATCAGGGTTTAATTTTCTTTCGCGTTGGTAAGAAAGGAATATTTTACGCGATTAGTGCATGTGCATAAAATTTACAGGTACGAGGAAAAATTATAGATTATGCTGTCATTTTGTCACACGCGATCTCGTTTGGCTCGAGCTCAACCCCGAAGAGGGGCGACGAAGTTGCATCCTGGGACCTTTTTTCGATCATCGAAATTACGAGTACAGTTATCGATGATATTCCAGCAGCTGGGAAGTGAAGAACGATATCATAACTCGCGATAGATCAAGGAAACTGGAACGTTGAACGGTAAAACGCCGGAATGCGTAACTCCTTCTCGGCAGGAGGAAGGACAGGAAATGGAAGGCTGCATTCATTGTCCATCGGGAGATCCATCCCGGGGTCCACGATACCTCAGTATTTCTTTCTTTTTTCCCCCTCGACATCGATTCGTTCGACGAAACGAGCTTCTTTCACTGAAGAAACTTCCAGTATATCGAACAATGCAAATTTCTCCGACGACTCCAACGCGCATTTGATCCGCAGAAATTGCTCGAGACACCGAGCACAGCGTCTGTTCCGCGGGGTGTCTCCGGTGCACAAACTTAACGAAATTGAAATTATACCGTTCGAAACTAAACTCGGGAGTAACTTTCCTCCTCGTCGACGTATACTCCACGAAGACTGTGAACAACTTGCCGCGATATTCGATGAAGATTCGATTATACGAGTCGCCTCGTCTGCGCGCTCGGAAATTCGAAAATTCGCGGAAATTCGACCTCGACCCCCTGAGTTTTCGCCGAATCGCGAGTGTAGATCTCGTTGATTTGAGATGACGAGGTGAACGAAGCGTTTTCGAGATAAATCATGAATGGAGAGTAAGAAAAATGTGACAGGAGAACAATGGTTGACTCGTGCCGCGCAAGAATTCGCAAATTCGCGAAAATTTAACCTCGTTTCTTCGAATCTTCGGCGAAGTATGGATGTAGAGCTCGTTAATTATTGGCGACGAGGTGGATGAAGCGTTCCCGAAATAAATCGTGCGTGGAGAATAAGAAGAACGCGACATGAGAGCAGCGGTCGACTCGTTCGCGAAAATTTGACCTCGACCCTATGAATTTTCATCGAATCAACCGTGTAATTTTCGTTAATTACTCGTGACAGAGTGTACGAAGCGTACTCGAAATAAATCGTACGTGGAAAGTAAGAAAATCGCGACAAGGGAGCAGTGATTGTGGCCTCGTTCGCGAAAATTTGGAAATTTGACCTAGGCCTTTCGAATTTTCGTCGAATCATCAACGTAGACCTCATTAATTAGTGGCGACAAGGTGCATGAAACGTAAAAGAAATAAATTGGGCATGGAGAATAAGAAAATCGCGACATGGTAGTAGTCGTCATCTCGATGTCCGCAAAAATTTGCAAATTCGCAAAAATTTGACCTCGACCCCTCGAATTTTCACCTAATCAACTGTGTAATCTTCGTTAATTACTCGCGACAAAGTATACGAAGCGTTCCCGAAATAAATCGCGCAGTATCACTAAGAAAATCGCGACATGAGAGCAGCGGTCGTCTCGTTGATCGCGAAAATTGGAAAATTCGACCTCGACCCTTCGGATCTTCGTCGAATCGACCCTATCGTCTTTGTTAATTACTCGCAATAAAATATACAAAGCTTTCTTGAAATAAATCGTGCATGGACAATAAGAAAATCGCGACTTGACAGCAGCGGTCGTCCCGTCGATCGCGAAAATTGGAAAATTCGACCTCGACCCTTCGGATCTTTGTCGAATCGACCCTGTCCGTCTTCGTTAATTACTCGCGACAAAATATACAAAGCGTTCCCGAAATAAACCATGCGTGGAAAATAAGAAAATCGCGACATGGTAGTAGTCGTCATCTCGGCGTTCGCGAAAATTTGCAAATTCGTGAAAATTTGACCTCGATCCCTCGAATTTTCACGCAATCAACCGTGTAGTCTTTGTTAATTACTCGCGACAAAGTATACAAAGCTTTCCCGAAATAAATCGTGCAGTGACAATAAGAAAATCGCGACACGACAGCAGCGGTCGTCCCGTCGATCGCGAAAATTGGAAAATTCGACCTCGACCCTTCGGATCTTCGTCGAATCGACCCTGTCGTCTTTGTTAATTACCGACGACAAGGTGTACGAAGCGTTCCCGAAATAAATCGTACGTGGAGAATAATAAAAACGCGAGCACGAGAGCAACGGTGGATCGAACGTCGAGGAGGTTAGAGACAAAGAGGAGTGCTCGCCGAGTGAAATTTATTTCGACAACGAGGAGCAATGAGACTTTCGACCGCGGATTAAAATCAACCACTGGAAACGTTCGAAACGAGTCGCAGGGAAAATAAAGGAAAATTAGGGGATGAGGTGAAGAAAGAGGGAGAGAAGTACGTGGAACGAAGCGTTATTCCTCAGGCAGCTGGGACACGGCAACTCCACTGGTAATCAATTAGTCGACGCGTACAAACATTTGAGACAAACGAGGGGTGGGAAACTTTGGAAGCTTGGTATCGAATTAATCGTCGAATCGCGATCGAGTCGTTGTTGACCCAGCCGGGAAAATAGAAAACAAAACGAAGAACGAGAGAAAACAAAGGAAAAACAAGATAGAGAGGAAACGGAGATCTTCTCGGCACTCCACTTGCACTTATATAGAGCAAAAATATCAGACTTATATCATACAGGCTGCTCCTAACAACTATACATAAGTATACAACACGTGATTCTCTATAAAAATTATTAAAAAGAAATACACAGATTTATATTAAATTTCGACTATGTTAAAAATCAAGAGAGTAAATTTGATTGAAAAATACGAGTGTTTCGACTTCAGAAACAGCAAGATGAAAAATTAAATGAAAATAAGGGACAATTAGAAACCTCTTCTTCTATTAACCTTTGCACTCGACGATTTCTTCGCCAAAGAAGGATAGGAGTTCAAAGATTTTCTGTTACAAATCTGACGATATTTTTCTGAGCAGGAATAAGAAATCGTATGATAATTAACACGTAGAATTATTTGATTTCGATACCTCGCACACCGTTACATTATCTGAAATTTCACATATTTATGAATATCGAGCTTCGAAATTTGATCAAATGGCGACTGAAGGGCGCTTCTCGAGTGCAAAGGGTTAAATACCACATACAGCTATCAATAATTTACCAAATTTAAAATCCGTTTAAAGGTTCCAAATACTGGTGTATTTTACTTCGCAAAGTGGTAGCAAGTAATAGTTACCAAAGTAAACTAACATACCGAGGTAGTCTAGGGATGTTAGGTAGCTCTCGATTCCTGCGTTCCGAACTTTCCGCGGGAAAAATGTACACCAAGACAAATTCGACGCTAATCCAAATTCTGATTCGTTACAGCTGCTTATGTACACACGATCACACAGACTCGTCGATAGCGCACTCCGTTTGCGGGAATCATTTCCCCCGCCGAAACGAAGGGGTGAAACACCCCCGTGCAACTAAAACCCCGCACCCGATTCTCGGCTTTTAGCACAACGGTGTCGTTTTCGCGCGAATCGGGCCTACGATACGATAATTTACGAACTCGTTAATCGACGATACATAACTTACAGAGGCACCCTGTATAATAAACGAACCGCATCGGTCGAAACGCCCCGTGATATTTGCCTTCTTGTTTGCACGGTTATGCCACGCGGGCTGTTGGTTAATTAATAATCGGCAATCATCGATCTTCGAAATTAATACCGTATCATCGTGGAAACAGAGAAATCGGACTATCTATCGCATGATAATCGCATCGAAACCGGAAAAGCCGGCGGGCATAGGGGTCGCGGGAGGGGGTTGCGAAAACGCGACGCGGCGTCGATTCCATCCGCTTCTCTGCTCGCGGATATTCGTTCCCGGGCCATCTGCGACGAAATTGCGGTAATAACGCAGTGACCGATGCTGATCAATTAACGACGAGCAAATTTCACCTACACGTGACGTACGAGTGCTTCGAATTACACTAGCCCCCCGACTATTGCCCGCGAGTGAGGGTTAACCCTTTCGATACTACTGCCGCCCAATGGCAGCGGGCATGAAACGTTCTCAGGGTACTATCGTCGCCTACTGACGGCATCTACGAAACATTCTCTAGGTACTACTATCGCCTATTGACGGTATTCACGAAACGTCACCGATGACTGTCGCGGTCCGAATGAAAAGTTTAGTGTCAATCACGCTCGAGATTTCTATGAATGCCGCAAAACACATTTTCGTGACTTCCAGTGCAACCACTCTTGTGGAAATCTTCCTCGTACCACGAATGTATAACCGTGGCCAGCTCCTCCGTACCAAAATGGTTAAGTAACGAAAAAGCGTCTCGATGCTTCGGGATGCTGGAAACAGCTGCTTCTTGTCACGAATTCGATGGATAATGCACTGGTAAGACAATATA